AAAAAAAAAAAAAAAAGGACAACAATGAGTTTTAAGGCTGGACCTGTAATCCTATAGGAGTTAGGAGTATTATTTAACTAGTTGAGATATCATTTTTGATTAAATGTAAAATAAGTTCTTAATTTCTTTTGATAGTTAAACATCAGTCCTTAACTAATATTAAGGAAGGTTATGTTGTTGTCTCAAACAAATTATTCTGGTGGCCTTTAAAAAAAAAAAAAAATTGTAGAGAGATTGAACTCTAAACACTACGGTTAAGAGGTTCTTGTGACCTTTGATATTGCTATATAGCTGTGAATTTTCTATATAACTATATTGCAAAAATTATATTAGTATTTGATAATTATTTTTAAAAAATATTATACATATGAATAATTATTAAAATATATAAATATTAATTAAGATGTATTAACTTATAATAATAAAAATTATTATGTAATTTAAAATATATTAAATCATATAATAAAAACTTTTAAATAAAACATAAATCTCTTAATATTAAAATTTTTTTTTTATCTAATATAATAACACTTGCAAAATAACAAGCTCTTATAACAAAATGAATAATTTTGATAACTTGCTTTGAGAAAAAGTTGAGGGAAAGTGACACCATAGCAATCGTTGTCTAATCAAATAGATTATCATGAGTTTATTGGATGAAAAACAGCCCACCTTCATTCAATTCTTTAAATTATGTTGTGTAATATAATTAAAACTACCCAATATTTATTTGTGTTATTATTATTTTTTATTTTAATTATATAATCATATTCACATAATCACATGTCTTATTATTCAAATTTAAAATTATTTATTTTAAAAAAAATTATTATTAAATTATTTAAATTATTAATTTATATATATTATTATTAACATAGAGTTTCAGTATCTAATTTATTAATATTTAAAAAATGATTTTCACACAATTTTTTATATAATTTGATACATTATTTAAATATTTTTTATTTATTTAAAATATATAATATTAAATATATCTACTTATTTAATAAAATATAAAAATTATATAAAAAAATAATATAAAAAAAGATTACCTCAATCTTACTACCCATTAATATTTTTATATAGTAAGAACCAATAGAAAAAATTGCCCCTTGATTCAATCAATTATTTTTATTTTATGCGATTACATTTAAAAATGAAAATTTACAGATGTCAGAGATGATGCTGGAAGGAAGAGTGGATATATTATGGGCAGTGATTAAATTAGGTCAACAGCAGGAAGAAGATCCTCCCTACTTTCTTCTTTTCAAACCCTTAACAAGAGAAAATTTTTGAGAATTCATTCTGCTTTCTAAATATTTCTCTGTTTTTCTTTCATCCTCCCCAGAATTTTGAAGAGTTCTGCGCTCAATTCTGAAATTTATAGTTTCTGCAATCTTCTCTGTTTCTCCTGCGTCCGGCGCCGGAGATGGGTATTGAATCGGGTTCTAGTCACTTCACAAATTTGAATGGGTAAATATTTTTTTTCCCGTCTTAAAATGGCTGCAATTTCTTTTCTTTTTTTTTCAGGAATTTAGCAATTTTTTTGTTTTTTTGTTTTTTTGTTTTTTTTTTTTTGTTTTTTAAAATTTCTCTCTTCTAGTTGAATATATGGCCGTCCTTTTCCATTTTCGTTAATTTGTAATGCAGATTTTTTTATTGCTTAATGAAAGTTTGATTCTTGAGAAAATGGAGGAAGAAAAGAACATAACATCCAATATTTTTTGGTCAAGGGGTTGTTCTTTAAGTTTGCAGCTCTTTCTTTTCTAATATCTATGAATTGCTTTGCTGCGAATTGCTTACGAGTCTCTATGCAGTCAGTAAGTTTTTGCTTGCTTAGTGTATAGAGGTTGCTGATTGTTTCTGCCTTTTTTCGAGCATTCGACTCTATAAAAAGATATGGAAGAAAAATTGTATGTCACCAGAGAGGAGTTGCTGAAAGAGAACGGCTTGAGGATGTAGCATTAAGGGTGATTCTTCTTCTAATTGTTCCTTGTGTGAATGCAGCTCAGGTACTGATCCCAAGATTGGAGAATGCGTTAATGCCATGATTGTGAAAGCATACCCAGTGGGTATTTTGCGTGTGAGTGATCACATCAATGGGGAGGAAGGAGAGTCTAGACTTGAACCATATGTGGGGTTAGAGTTTGATTCTGCAGACGAGGCACGTGAGTTTTATACTGCATATGCTATGCGTGTGGGGTTCAGAATTCGTATTGGTCAGCTGTATCGATCCCGAAGTGATGGGTCTGTTTCATCAAGGAAATATGTGTGCTCAAAGGAAGGATTTCAGCTGAATTCAAGGACAGGTTGTCCTGCGTTTATAAGAGTACAAAGGCGGGATTCTGGGAAGTGGGTCCTTGACCAAATCCAGAAGGATCATAACCATGAATTAGGAGCTTCTGAGGATAGTCCCACACCCATTCTGCAGCAAAGAACCCCTGTGGTTACAAAGTCATCAGTTGAAGTGTGTAGACCAAAAGTTAAATTGCTTCATGGAGTAGATGAGGGGCGGCAATGCCCGTCTGGCATCATTAGTTTCAAACGGTTCAAAGGGAGTGGAGATGGAGGGCAACCTGTAGCTGCACCGTATGCAGGTCTAGAGTTTGATTCATCTAATGAAGCTTATCAGTTTTATCAAACATATGCAGAAAATACAGGTTTTAGAGTTCGGATTGGTCAGTTGTTCCGCTCAAAGAATGACGGATCAATTACATCAAGGCGATTTGTATGCTCAAAGGAAGGGTTTCAGCACCCTTCAAGAGTAGGTTGTGGGGCATTTATGAGGATTAAAAGACAAGACTCTGGAACTTGGATAGTTGATCGTCTTCAGAAAGATCATAATCATGATCTTCAGGTGTCCATGGCAACTCAGAAAAAATTCTCAATAGCTTCTAAGAAATTCATTGAAGAGGATTCTGGTGGCTTGGACTTGATGGATCTAGTTGAAATAAACGATGGAAAGCTTATCAAAAGCAGGCAAGAAAACAAAATTGGAAGTAATTGGTATCCCATGCTTTCTGATTATTTTCAAACAAAGCAAGCAGAGGATACTGGGTTCTTTTATTCTGTAGAAGTTGAGAATGGTAATTGCATGAGTATTTTCTGGGCTGATGGCAGATCTAGATATTCATGCAGTCAATTTGGTGATGCTATTGTTTTTGATACTTCATACAGGAAAGGTAACTGTGTGGTACCATTTGCAACATTTGTAGGAGTTAACCACCACAAGCAACCAGTGCTACTGGGATGTGCTCTAATTGCCAATGAATCAAAGGAGTCTTTTATGTGGTTATTTCGGGCATGGCTAAGGGCAATGTCAGAGTGCCATCCAAAGTCAATTATTGCTGATCAAGATGTGGCCATCCAACAAGCAATTGCTGATGTCTTACCTGGGACTCATCATCGCTTTTCAATGTGGCAGTTTAGGGCTAAGGAAAGAGAGAATTTGAGGTCAATGTCTAATGAATTCAGATATGAGTATGAAAGGTGCATCTATCGTAGTCAGTCAGCTGTTGAATTTGATACTGCATGGACTGCCCTTATCACTAAATATGGTCTGCAGGAGCATGCTTGGCTAAAGGACATTTATGAAAAGCGTAAAAGCTGGGTTCCATTGTATCTACGAGGAAAATTTTTTGCTGGCATCACTGTTAACGAAACTGTTGAATCATTCTTCGGTACTCTAGTAAATGGTCAAACACCACTTAGGGAGTTTGTTTCACAATATGAGCAAGGACTTGAGAAACGCCGCGAGGAGGAAAGAAAAGAAGATTTTAACTCATTTAATTCGCAATCTTTACTGCAAACAAGGGAACCTGTAGAAGAACAGTGTAGGAGGCTCTATACACTTACCATCTTCAAAATCATCCAAAATGAGCTTGTGCAATCTTATTACTACCTTGGAATTAAGACCCATGAAGAAGGGACCATTAGCAGATACTTGGTTAGAAAGTGTGGGAATAATGATGAAAGTCATGCTGTTACCTTTAGTGCTGCCAATGCCAATATTAGTTGCAGCTGTCAAATGTTTGAATTTGAAGGGGTGCTGTGCAGGCATGTCTTGAAAGTGTTTAACCTGTTGAATGTAAGGGAAATTCCCCCTCACTATATCTTGCATCGGTGGACAAGAAATGCCGAGTGTGGTATTTTCGCCGGCATTGAATCTGGCTTCAGCTCCCGGGAACTTAAAGCCTTGATGGTTTGGAGTTTAAGAGAAACAGCTTGTAGCTTTATAGATTGTGGGGCAACATCTCTAGAGAAATATAAACTTGCATATGAAATTATGCGTGAGGGTGGAAAAAGACTTTGTTGCCAACGGTGAGTACTAAAGTTAACACTGAATGTTGAAATTTATTTGAAGATTGGTTTTTGAAGAGGTGCAATATGTAATAATAGAATGTTATCTTGCTCTATCTAATAGTCATTTTCTGTTTCCTGAATCAGAACTGTGAATACTGGATCATCTGGATTGCCATTTCTTCACTGATCTGATACCTGGTATGATGATCAGTCATTTTTCTTCTGGGTTTCTCGCTACATAATTATATTTTTCTTAAACCCCAAATTTATACTGTGCACTGGTTATGGCTGTGAAGAAGGGCACAAATTCTGTGTTTAGGATATATGATCACCACAAGTGCCCTTTTGAAATCTTGAAATATTCTAGTCAAATTGTATATGATAGGCATCAGTTGGTGTTTTTGGTAAACCAGATATTCTTTTCTCTTTTTCTTTTCCCAAGATGTATATAGCAGTGAAGAGAGAAATGACATTTGCTCTATGTTTTAGATTTATACAAATGAAAGCAAAGAGTTAGTTATTTTTATTTTAGTGTAACAGCAGTATTAGTTAAGGGTTTTATTATTATTATTATTATTATTATTTTCAGGCTGCTTTCTCAGTGGGCAATTGACACAGAGAAGATAGGGGTAAAACAAACAGAAACTGAGAACTTTATAAAATTAAAGATGGAACCAAGAAAACTTTGGGTTTTAACCTCAAGTTTATTCTCAAACTAAAATCTCATAACAAAAACTGAGTTAGAGATTTGAAAATGACTATATCTACTAACAGTAGCCAAGAATCTTTTAATTCAATTCTCATTTGAACTTCTAATAACCTACCATTTCCAGTCCTAACTTAAAAAAAAAAAATTTCTTTATGCTCCGGCGTCAGTAAGTAAGAAACTATCTCCTGTTCGACATGTTTAAAAATTGATAAGAAGGCAGGAGAGGCTGCTAAAATATAAAACATAGATAAACACTAAATTAGTATGAAATAGCATTACATTTTTCAATCAAATTTCATGGGTATTAAATACTCAATGAAACATAAATGGTTCCTTTAATTCTATTAAGCACCACCATTTAAATTTAGTTTAGTAACATAATGAATGAATGAATTGAATCTGAAACGGTATGGATAAACTCCCAACAATTAATGATACACATGGTTACTTTTCAAATAACTTATTTCTCCAACATTTTATAACCAGAGCTGCTATCTGGAATTTTATACAAGAAATAAGAAATTGTTATGGATCTAGTTACATTGATTCAACAGTTCTTCCTAGATCTGGTTCTAATCATTTCATTTCATCCATTTATCTTCTCTTTTCTTCTCCTGTGGCCACTTTTCTATTTGCTAAAGCTCAGTAGAAATCCAAAACTCAGACTCCCTCCGTCTCCACCAAAGCTACCAATTATAGGAAACCTTCACCAATTGGGGAAGCTTCCTCATCAGTCTCTCTGGGCCCTCTCTGAGAAGTATGGCCCTATAATGCTCCTTTACTTTGGCAGCATTCCAACAGCAATAGTTTCTTCTGAAGAATTGGCTCAAGAAGTCCTAAAGAAGAATGATATTGCTTTTGCAGAGAGGCATCCATCGAGGGCTGCAAAAGTATTCTCTTACGGTTGCACTAATTCTGTGTTTAGCCCTTATGGTGAATATTGGAGGCAGTTGAAAAAGATTTCTGTTGTTGAACTTCTTAACCAGAGCAGGGTGGAGATGTTTCAGTTTGCGAGGGAAGAAGAAGCGGCAAAAATGGTTGAAAAGATACAATTCTCATGTCTCAATGAGGCTGCTATCAATCTTAAAGAGATGCTTTTTAATTTTTCAAACAATATTATCTCAAGATCTGCCCTTGGTAAGGTATATGGAAAAGAAAGTGGTCATGAGAATTTAGGAGAGCAGCAAATGGATGCTATGGGAGCTTTCTGCTTGGAAGATCTGTTTCCCTGTTTGGGATGGATGGATTTTCTTACTGGGTTCAGACAGAAAGTGAAATGCACTTTCGAAGCAATAGATCACTTCCTAGATCAAGTGATTGAAGAACATAAGCTTCCAAAGAATGAGGGTGAAAAATCTAATCAAAAGAACTTTCTAGATATCCTTCTTGATCTTCAGAAGGATGGTAACCTCAGCATTAATCTAACTCAAGACAACATTAAAGCAATTATTCTGGTCTCTTTCTCTCTGAACCACAAAAACTACACGTTTATTTTCTTATTACAGAACATGTTCTTTACGCTTCTGTTTTTATCCTTTTTATTTCAGGGCTTGTTCGTGGGGGGAACACATATAGTTGCAGCAACAATGGAATGGGCAATGGCAGAGCTTATGAAAAATCCGAGTGAAATGAGAAAAGCCCAGGAAGAGGTAAGAAGAGTAGTGGGAAAGAAGCAGAAGGTAACTGACACTGATATCAGTCAAATGGAGTACCTTAAATGCATCATCAAAGAGACATTGAGGCTGCATACTAACAGTCTTCTTGTTCGACATGCACGTACCAAAGCTAACTTGGGAGGCTATGATATTTGTCCTGGAACAAGAGTTCTGATAAATGTGTATGCAATTCAGAGGGACGCCAAATTTTGGGACAAGCCTGAAGAGTTCCACCCAGAGAGATTCAGTAACAATGAAGTCAGCTTCAGAGGAGATTGCCTGCAATATTTTCCATTTGGTTCTGGGAGAAGGATGTGCTCAGGGATATCATTTGGAGTTGCAGAAGTTGAATGCGTGCTAGCCAATCTCTTGTATTGGTTCGATTGGAAGTTGCCTAATGGGACAGCCGCGGAGGACTTGGATATGTCAGAGAGTTTTGCCATAACAGTTGTGAAGAAAATTCCTCTTCAGCTTGTACCTGTATCACCCGTTTCATCTCTGTGAAGATTAAGAGCTGTTCGTTTTCTTCTTTTTCATTTTTCTCTTTGCTGAATCAATTGTCTTACAGTTGCTGCTTTTTCAGTTATGAATGAATCTGGTAAACTGCGTTGTGCAGTGTTCAATTTTCATATATTTAAGTGCTCCACACAACAGAAGCTTATTTCCAGTCCAGAGGAAAACATAATTAGAGTAGAAGAACTTAAAAACCATATACAAGATAAAAGAAAACATTATTCTGCCCTGAACATTTGAAAATCCATAATTTTTTTTTTATTTTGAGTTGCTTAGAAAGAAGTATTTTTTTTTTTTAATTTCTTAAGTTACTTTATCTTATTTTAATATAAAATTATTTTATTTTTATTAAAAAATGCTATTAAACTAAATTATTTATATCAAAAAATATATATTTTACAATTTAAATTATTTTAAATTATAAAATATTAATTTTTTTAAATAATAAAAAATTAAAAAAGAAAAAGAAAAAAGAGGACCTGGGTTAGGATCCAAATCTTAATAGCCCTGAACACATTCTGCAAGGAGGACAAGTAGACCATCAAGTGCTGAACATAAAATACTAATTATTTAGAAAAAAAAAAAAAGAGCTTTCTCATAAAATGTGGACTTAATGGCCGACCTTAAGTAACAGTAAAACAACGCGACCCTTTTGTGCAATCCGAGGGAACCCTTGTCTAATCTTTTTCTAGTTTTCTTCTGCATCCAAAGCTGTAATCTTTTCTCTCAAATAGAATCGGAGATGCCACCGCCATCCTTCCCTTCAGACATGACAGAAGATATACTCCAATTACTTCCCGTTAAGTCTCTGGTGAGATTCAAGTTGGTTTGCAGCTCATGGCGCTCTTTGATCTCCTGTTCCCGATTCAGAAAGACACACTTCAATCGGGCATTTCAGAACCCCAAGCTCAGTGCCCACAAAGCTCTTCTCTCAACACCTTCTGGTTTTATGCTCTTAGACCCAAGAAAACCCTTTGGTGATAATGGAGGTACAATGGTGGATCTGACTTTTCCGTTGGAAAGAGAGGATGGCCACCTCAGAATTGCGGGTTCCTGTAATGGCTTGGTATGCTTAGTTCTTGACGGGAAAAGAGATTTCTTTCTATGGAATCCTTCCACCGGTGACTGCAACAAGTTACCGGAAGCTTGTACTCCCGCTGGTCAATGGTATGTACATGGTTTTGGTTATGATTCATCATCTGAGGATTATAAAGTTGTTTTAGTTACTAATTATGTACGTATAACAACGATTGGAACTGGAACACGGAGTCGTACTGAGGCAGAAGTTGCAATCTTTTCAGTGAAAAGAAATTCCTGGAGAATCTTGAAAGATGTAAATAAGGCCATCCATAGGCTCTCTGGATGGAATTATGATACTTTTCCTGAGTCAACCTTTCTGAATGGAGTAATCCATTGGATGAATGACAATTTTGGAACTATAATTGCTTTTGATTTAGCAAGTGAGACTACTTGTGAATTTCAGGCTGTTAGCCATCGTTCTGGATTCTTCGATATGGACTTGGGAGTTCTTGGAGGTTGCCTTTGCTTAATCTATGATTGTTATATTGAGTTTGAGTTATGGGTAATGAAGGAATATGGGGTTGAGACATCTTGGACCAAGCTGTGTAATTTAGTAAATCCAGATTCTGCCCTTTATGGTATTGATGATTATGCATCGGAAGATTTTTATACAACCTTATGTCTATGCAACTCAGAAGATGATGCATTTATATTAATAAGAAGCAGAAAGGAATTAATAAGGTTTAATGGAAGAGGAGAAGTACTTGAAAAAGTTTGTATCTGTAACAACTCAGACAATTGTGACGGAATTGCATTTGTGGAGAGCATGGTATCTGCTAACGATCCATGATCAGGTACATATCCTTGTACCCTTTTCATCTTTCTTCAGAGATATTTCTTTAAATGGTATTTTTATATATTTTTTTAACATGCAATAAATTAAAAAATCACTGCAAAAATCTAGAACAAAGAGTTATAATGCTTGTTTGGGCCTGAAAGAAATGTTCTCCCTGCTCAATAGTGTCTGTAAATCTTTTCCGTTCCAAATAGGATTTCTTATATGATATTCTTTTGGCTTCTCAATTGTGTTTCTTGCTGATTTGAAACTTTGTTGCTGGGAAGTTGCTTCCTGTTTTGCTGTTAGCCTTAATTGCTCTCCTTTCCTCACATATCAAGAAAACCAGGGAACAAGGCTATGATTCAGGCATGGATCCTTGTCTTTCTCCTTTTGATAGCTAAAGGGCAAACTTATTCTTTGTTCTGGTTCATTGCTTGTTGGAAAAGGATCCAATTTTACCACTGTTCAGTCCAATCAATTTCCTCCTCTACCCCTGATGTTTGAAAATTAGGACCAATGGCACTTTTTGTTCTGTTCCTAACTTGGAGAGGGTGGTTAGTTACGGGTTTTTTTCTGGCACTATCCTTTTAGCAGTTACTAGGAAGTTGCAAAAGAATTGGAAGCAATGTGGGCTGGGGATACTGTTGCTTTTTAATCCTTTTAAGTCAGTTTCTTCTATAGCTAGCTGGTAACTAATGCTGTTGAGTATGCCGACCAAGAAGAAAAACCAATGCAGTTGAGTAAAGAATTTAAAATATGGCTGTGTATTATTATGTGTAAATAGGGAGTGTGATATACATGGATACATGTAGCCCTAATGATAAAACAAAATATAATTTACGTTTATTTACACATTGGGTCTTGTAGCAATTAAGTTGCTGACTTGTTGGCTATTTTGGTTTCTTATTTTTACTCCCCTCCCCTCTGCACAAACTGTAACCTTGTTATTCTGTAGTTAGTTATTCGAGTTTCTATGTAAATGGTTTAACTAGTTTTCAATTTAAAATGTGCTGCATGTTAATTCTATATGTAAAAGAGTCTACTAAGTTTCACTTGAAATGGTTTTCCTTGTTAATGAATATATCTGGTTCTGATTCATTATCTCTGTTTCTTTTGATAGGTTTCTTTGTTTCTAGGCCTTAACACACTACAAGTGCTACCTGGCTACACACAGAGAAGCTTATATCTCCAGTCTCGTGGAAAACAATGAAATTTAAAACCATATGCAAAACAGGAAATTTTAAGGTTTAAGATACACACAGTATACATAATCCTGAACCCTCTCACTTTTGCTATCATCAAGGCATTAGACATGCAGCCGTCTCAGGTGTCAAGTGATTCTTCCAATCTCCCATGGCATGAGTTATTCAAGCGGGAACTGTCTGATACAATTTGCTTTCCTGTTTTGTTCACTTCTAGACTGCTAAATTTATCAAATCTATGCCCAATGACTCGGCTCTGTTCCTCTAAGGTGTAAGGACAGCCAATGCCACGAACTCAACCAATCTTTTTACATGAGGTGTTGTGTCGTTGTGCCAATATATGTATGGGATTTATCTATTTTAACGGTCTCTGTAATGACTGATTGTCTTTATTTTGTTTTCTCTTTTTACCAAAAAGAAATTTAGAGGCTAATGCACCTTTTTCTTTTCAGAATAAAGAAACAAATTTACAGCTTTTGCTAATTGCGGTAACTGACCGAACGCAACCTTCTTTCGTTGTTTTTACTATATGTTATATAATTTAAATCTAGCATATTTTATTTATTTAAGAAAAAGTTATTTAATTATTAAAAATGTATCATTGTTTGTTCTATCGTTCTCATTCAGTGATATGAAAATAAAATCATTCACTTTGTATAAGTTGCATATTTAAATTTCATAAAAAAAAATTTTCTTATCTTGATTAATATGTAAATAATTTTAATTTATTAAAAAAAAAAACTTTTAGAGATGTAGGTATGGTATCTTACTTTTAGGAAATCCGTCTTTGAAAGAAAATAATAAACCATTTTATTGCAAAATTGCCCCAACCTTTGAAAGTCCATTAATAGTAAACATTTGGGTACAATAGGTAGAAGATTAAAAAATAAAAATTGGGAAAGAGGCCAGGACGGGCCGTCTCCATAACCGTGGTGCCCAAAGCTGAGTTATGGGCCATGTTCTGCACTGTTTCCTTTGAGAGGCTGCTGTTTTATACTGTTTCAGACACTAGAATAGGTACTCTTACAGTCTTACTTTTAGATATATTTTTAAATGAAGAAAGCACTTCAATGTCAAGTCTAATCCTTATCCAGGGTCATTATTTTACCGTCCCGTTTACAGTTTTTTGTCCCTTGGATGTAAACTGCTCCTTGAGTGTTTGCAGTCAGTCTTTCACATGAGTAGAACTGAAGAATAGAAAGGATGGTGTCAGAAGGCACTGCCAATTGATAATGTGAACAGCTTTTGCAGAATCCCATTTCAGCAATGAGGTGGGTGACGTTTTGATGGTCCATTAATTGAATCCACTCGTACTAGATCTTGGACTTAAACCAAACCTTTAAGAAACACAAAATTCCTTTTGAAATCCGAGTGAAACCTTGAAAAAATAGAACCAAAACCTTGCTGTATGTTTTTTCTTTTTCCTTTCAAGTTGAAGTAGAACTGAAGATGCCATCGCCATCCTTCCCTCGAGATGTTACAGATGATATACTCCAATTTCTTCCCGTTAAGTCTCTGGTGAGATTCAAGTTGGTTTGCAGCTCATGGCGCTCTTTGATCTCCAGTCCCAAATTCAGAAAAACCCACTTCAACTGGGCATATCAGAACCCTAAGCTCAGTACCCACAAAGCTCTTCTCTCAACAAAATCTTCTGGTTTCATGCTCTTAGACCCAAGAAGCCCTTTTGGTGATAATGGAGATTCAATGGTACATCTGGGTTTTCCTTTGGAAAGAGAGGAGGGCCACCTCAGAATTGTGGGTTCCTGCAATGGCTTGGTGTGCTTGGTTCTTGACGGCAAAAGAGATTTCTTTCTATGGAACCCTTCCACCGGAGACTGCAAAAAGCTACCGGATGCTTGTACTCCTCCTGGTGATCGGTATGTACATGGTTTTGGGTATGATTCATTATCTGATGATTATAAAGTTGTTTTGGTCTCTAATTACGTACATACGAGAACGTTTGAACTTGGAATACTGGATCATATTGAATCAAAAGTTGCAATCTTTTCACTGAGAAGAAATTCCTGGAGAATCTTTGAAGAACCAAATAAGGTCATCCATAAACTCTTTAGATGGGATTATGACTGTTTTCCTGGATCGACTTTTCTCAATGGCGCAATCCATTGGGTAAGTACCAGGACCATAATTGCTTTTGAATTAGCAAACGAGACATCTCAGCAATTTCCAGTTCCTAGTTATCGTGCTGGATTCTTCAAAATGGGCTTGGGGGTTCTTGGAGGGTGCCTTTGCTTGATTTATGGTTGCTTTCATGATCCCTATCCTTTTGAGTTATGGGTAATGAAGGAATATGGGGTGGGGGCATCTTGGATGAAACAGTGTAGTCTTGTAAACCCAGATAATGCGTATTCAAGCAAAGAATTTTATGCCCCCTTGTGTCTTTGCACCTCAGAAGATGATGCATTTATATTATTAAGGAAGAGAGGGGAATTGATAAGGTTTAATGGACGAGGAGAAATACTCGAAAATGTTCATATCTGTAACAACTCAGAAAAGTGTGATGGCATTGAATTTGTGGAGAGCATGGTGTCTCCTAACTGATCCCTCATAAGGTACATGTCCTTTTACCCTTTTCACCTTTCTTCTGAGATATTTGATCAAAAAGATTTCAAAATCTTGAACAAGGAAAGAGTTACAGTGTTTATTTGGACCAGTAAAATTGTTGTCCCTACTCAAAGGTGTTTGAAATGCTTTGCCATATATTCCAAAGAGGATTGTTCATACGATGTTTTTTGGCTTTCTCAAATTGTGTTTCTCACTTATCATGCTCTTTAGCTGTTGGACTTAATTTGTCTCCTTTGCTCACAATCAGGAAGCCTAGAAATATTGCCTTTGTTTCATGGATCCTTGCCTTTCCCCTTTGGACTGCTAAAAGTGCAAACTTGCATGGTGTTGGTTCATTGCTTGTTGGAAAAGGATATAATTTTTACCACCCTGTGCTCCTGCATCCTCCCTCCCCCTGATGTTTTGAAAAGAAATGCTAATGGCACATTTTAATCTGTTTCTAACTTGGTGGTGGGGGTGGCTGTTAAATGCAGGTATATTCTCTTGGCACTTTGATCCTTATGGCACTTACTAGGAAGTAGCGTTGGTAGCGAAAGAATTGGCAGTCACATAGGATATCAGAGTGATTTTCCTCTAGGCAGAGTGGGGATGCTGTTGCTCTGAATCAGATTGCTCTCTGTTGGAATCCTACGGATGGGGGAATAACCTCAACTGTAATGTACTTTCTTTCAAGTATGTTTTTCCTTTACATCCTTTCCAAGTCGGTTTCTTGACTGATAATGAGGTTGCTGACTTGGTAGTTGTATTGATGTATATTTGTTCTTGACCTCTGTTTTCCTGGTTTTCTCCCCCACCCTGTAACCTTAGATTTCTCATAGGTAAAGTAGTTCTCCCCTGAAATGACGCTGCACCTACATCTTGATGCCTTTTTTTTTTTTTTTTGTTTCAAATCATAATCTCCATCAAACATGCAAAAAGCCACGTACAAGTACTAACAGAGTATTAAACGTGCATAACATCATTGGAGCAGCAACTTTGGAAATTCCAAGTGTTACACACAGAGAAGTCTAGAGGAAAGCATAGGAAAAAATAAAACTAATCTTCAAGACAGTATTTTGGGTTCAAGTCTTCAAGATATACACTCAAGCACTTGATGACGGCTTATATGTACTCAATCCTGAACCCTTCCACTTCTGCTCATTGATTTTCAATCGAGAAATTGTCCAGCACAAGTTGGTTGCCTGTTTTGTTCACTTCTAGATTGCTCAGTTTCGCAAAGCTACAGAGCTCTACAATTTTCTGCGCAACGTCTCGGCTCTCTTCTTGGTGAAAGGACAGCCCATGAGCTCAGCCAATCTCTTTAAATGAAGAGCCGTGTCACTCTTCATTTCTTCATATTTTAAAAAAGGTACCTTCTCCGGCAGCTCCAAGCTTGCATTCCAGTACTCCAACACATGATCCCAGTAAGGCCCTCGATATGACAATCCTTGGCAGAACATCTCAAGTGCCTCCTCCAAAGATAATGGATTCGGGGTTATCCTGTTGTGAAAGCACCACACTGAGACAAACACATCCTTGGGATCCCTACAAATGTAAACGATTTTGCAACCAGGTGTGGCTTGTATGGACTTTGGTAAACAAGTGTAGGGAGTGTGTGCGGAAAAGAGAGGAAGGTCTGGTATCCTATCCGGTTGCTTTTCCTCTGGAGGAGACCAAATTCCAACATGGGGAGACAATTGTGAGGGAGGATGGTGAGTAAAGGGCTGTTGAAATCATCATTGCAGTGGCGAGTGACGAGGGCAAAAGCCAGGGCGTTGAGCCAAGTTGTGCCTGATTTGGGAGAGCTGCTCATGATGATATCAGTTGGTTCGACCTGGAAGTGTTGTTGGGCTAATATGAATCCCTCTAGGCTGACGCGATCGAACCAAAAGCTCTGGTATTGTTGGAATTCACTTAAGGACAGCAAGCCAATAGCTTTAGGAAGAGAGGAGATCATCTCCTGCAGGTCTTGCCTCTCTTCTCTGTGTGAGGACAAGAACTTGGAAACATTGAGGCTCATGACTTTTCTTTTCTTCTGAATTCAGGGGATGTGTCTTGAGTTTAATGAAAGAACAAGAATAAAATAAAGTTTTATACATACGAACAATAACATGATCATCTCCTGCAGATTTTACCCAAATCAAAATTTTGTTATTGAGTGCACAACTTAAATCATTAATTGAATGAAGAGAGGGTAGGACAGATATAGGCCAAACTCAAACAAAATCCAAAACAATTTTCTTGGCAAATGCAAAAGTAGTTAATTTGATTTGCCATGTTCAGTTATATATGGCGTTTACGCCAAATTGGCATTTTGGCCGACCACGGGTACTGCGTCCGCCCAATTTCAAGTGTAAAGGTAACGGCCCCAACTAGCGCGAGATTTTTAATGTCTTCATAAAGTAGTTACTCCCTCCGGTTCAGCAAAACCTTGCTTAAGTTTGTAATCCTCCTGTCCTGTTAATCTCAAGACTCTCTCTTGGTCTCCAGAAAGCTTATGTCTCCAAAATGCTTATGGTTGAGGGTGAAATGTCTGATGATAAGATGTGCTTTCTAGATTTACTTCTTCTTGATCAGGAAGATGGCGGTGATCTTGGCATTGAACTAAACAGAGACAAAAAATTAAAGAAATGCTTATGGTCTGTCTCTCTTGATCCCTCTTCAATTAATTTCTTCTCTTCTTTTGTTACATAAAACATCTTTTTTAGGTGGTTCTTCATCCTGCAATATTAATGGAATGGACAATGGAAGAGGTGATAAAACATCCAAATATAATGAGAAAAACCCAAGAAGAAGTGGGAACGGTTGTGGGAGACAAAAAGGAAGTAACTGAGGCCCAACCTGATCCTATATATGGAGTATATCTAAAATGCATCATGAAAGAGAGTCTGAGGCTACATGGAGGAGGAGTACTGATGAGAGAGACACGTAGTGGAACTACATTGGGAGACTATGAGATTCAACCCAGAACAAGAGTCCTGGTAAATGTGCATACAATTCACAGGGATGACAAATATTGGGACAGGGCAGGTGAGTTCCTCCCAGAAAGATTCACCAACAATAAATTCGACTCCAAAGGAGTTTACAGGCTATATTCCATTTGGTTTTGGACGACGGAGCTGCCCGGGGTTGTCATTTTCAGCTGCACAAGTTGAATATGTGCTAGCTAATCTCTTGTCCTGGTTTGATTGGAAGTTGACTGATGGAGCGAATGCAGAGGACTTGGACATGGCAGAGCATTCTGGCCTATCAACCTAGAGCAAAATCCCCCTCCATGGTGTACCTATTTCAGCTGTTTCCCATTTTTTATTTGAAGGATAAAGAGAGCCTTCCTTTTTCTCCTTTTTCCTTTCCCTTTTTTTTTCTGTTTTTCACTTTGCTGAAACTGCCACCAGTGTATAATAAGATATAGTTGTTTTGCGGTTTGCCTTTTCTGGACTGCACTTCACTTTCCCAGTATGACAAAACACTTTGTTTTTGTTTTAATTGTTCAAGTACACCCCCATTTGTTAAAATTAAAATGTATAACGGGAAAGAGAAACACCAAATTATTACTCCTACACTTCATTTGTCTTAAAATAATAAGTAATAATTATATTTTAGGATGAATAAAATACTTATTTTTATTTTACATAATTTAATTAAAGACAAATTATCCATATCAGAACTAGAAAATTCATAAAAAATTATTTATTCATTAGTTTTCTCATATAATCGAATCTTAAATAATAAAGTAAAAATTAAATCTTTTATTAAGTAAATTATAAAAAATTACTTATTCATTAACTTTTTCAGAGAATCAAAACTTAAATAATAAAATAAAAGTTAAATTTTTTATTAAATAAATCACAACTTATTAAGTTTTTTCTCTTATTATCCTTTGATTTATATATATATATATAGACGCATACAAATAGCAGGCATATACATGTGGATGTGTTGGTCTGGCCCCAAAATTCATATTACTTTTGGTCCAAAAAGATGGCTCCCTAAATATTGTCGACTCTCCTCTTTACATGCAAGGGCAACTACGCAGGTGGAAGACAAGGTAAGGTTAAGGATGCCTGTTGTAAGAACATATAAAACCACACAGGCAAATGAACAAAAAGTCAAAGTCTTGAGAGAAACAAGGGCAGAAGAAAATGACCTAGGAATCTAGAGGTAATACAGTCCCAATTCGAGTCATGTGACATGTATATAAATATACTCATTCACCCATAAACCAGACAAAATATGAACTAATCATTCAAGAAACATGGGCATTCAAAGTAACACGGAGTCATATGGAGGGAGGGAGAGACAGATATGGTACTGATTGAATTATAATTTTGTATATCTTGTTAAAGGAATAGAGAATCCCCATATTATCACACAACATTGCATTCTTTATAGGCACAGCCTAATAAAAAGAGCTAAAGCAAAGCAAAGGCTTTGGTCATTAGCATAACATCATTCCATGGTAAGGCATGATTTCCATCATTTTTAATGTATTACCATGTATGAGGTAAGCTTCCCCTAGATTTCTAATGTGTAAGAACAATAGCAGCCCCCTGCACCAAAGGGTGGATGATGTGCACAAACTGCTTTGCTTCCCTCTCCTCCTGCTCCCGACACTGTGGGGCACCTTTCCCCTCCTTCATCTTCTTCACAAATGAGACAAACTGTCTCCAGTTGTTGGCCTGAAAGAGGTCTGGGTTCATCCTAAGATATGTAAATGCACACATCTCCCTATCTTGGCCTAAATTATCTTCAATATCAAGTGAAGATGCTTTTATGATCTGCTCATGTGCATATTCATCATAGCGTGGCAATGCATTTTCCCCAGCAAGAGGAACTTGTGCTGCTTTAGTAGCTAAGGCTACCTGCTTGACAAGCTTTTCTGGTGCACAGAGGGCATCCTGTGGCTGCTCATGATCCCGCATTTCTATGCAAGTGAAATTGAAAACAGCACCATGACGGGCTAGCATTTGGGCAATGGGGAGATAACCATCTCGGAACCTTGTGTTAAAATAACCTGCAGTGAGCTCAGGGGCATGGGACCTTGTTCCATAGTGCCAGTGAATACCAGCAACTTTGACTGAGATCTTCACGGTGGTATCCTTAAAGATTGATGTGGCTGATGACAATATTCTCTCACCATGATCCAACAGCATCTTGGAATACCAGCCAAGGAAAAATTCACCATAGGGACTATTCCATCCTCCACCTTCTTTACGGAAAAACTGGGTATCTTCTGGCCAGTTGTTGTAATGACCAGCATCAGTGGGACCTGTGCCACCCCATTCTGGCTTACCAGCTGCTTCAGCTGCTGCCTTCAAACTACTGACCATATACTGCATTGCACAATGCCAAGATAAGGAAAGAACTAGATAACACAACTAAATTGCTAAATTAGAAAATTGAGAATTTCAGTTACCTTATCATAACACTGGAAGGCTCCTATTCCTGGGAATCTCCATGTTCCATTCTGCTCTGGATAGGAAGGATAACGAAGCTCACCTGCTGGGCCCATTCCCACTTGGATTTCCTGTTAGGAACGAATTCAGAACAATTTAGTTAAAAACTTCTTTAACAGCACATGATAGCAGAAAGCTCAAATTGGTAATCTAATTAAGCATTACCAGACACAATTCATGTAGAAAAAGAAACATAGGAGCAAATTAGTTGGGCACTTCTAGCAACACTAAGAAATCTAATGAAGATAATCTCATATTGTCCTCATCTGATGCATAAACAGTCAATACTAACATCCAGCCATCAAATGAGGACTGACTGAATACCAATTGATCAAAACAGCAAAACCCTTCAGAAGCCAAAAAACTAAAGTAAAAAAATTTAATGAGGGAAGGAAGAAATTACCACAATGGTGTCACCAAGAAGGTGTTTGAAGTTATCCCTGAAGGCACGCATGAAATCAGCATAGCACTGTACAGGAG